TGCCCCAAAGCACACGGCTTTGGACGGCATGAGTGTATGGCCTTGAAAAAGCATGTCTTTAGGGCTCCGTGATCTCACACGGCTAACGTGACTCGCACAGGAGCCCGGACAGGAAGACACATATTCCAGTTTTGGGATTCAGTATGTTGGAGGGTATGTGAATGCAACAGCTCTCCTCATACCTTGTTCTTTTGCAAGTTGGTTCTTAAAAGCTTCATGTGGTGTAATTTGGCATACCCCATTTAATTCTATGGAGGTTTGCACCTGAAGATTGGGCCCAAAGTGTCATAAATCTGAAGGTCAAACTCTGCCTCAAGTGCTATATCATTGACCTTGAGTGAGACATAATGAACTATTTCCATACTTCTGTGAAGCACAACAAATTTTCCAGTGAATGCGGTGAGAGTCTTGTTAACACTAAGGTTGCTAATTGACTATTTACAGGGAAAATTTCTCTGTGCTTGGGGCAACGATTGCAGAGCTAAATCATCTTTATTATTAAAGTGAGCCTTGTAATATTGTCTGTTCAGATGGAACCTTCTTCTTTGCATGGGTCCTTGATTTAAAGAAACACTATTGGAATATTAACTACTGTGAACCTACTCTGATGATTGTCTCAATATTCCCTTTGTTAGAAGGTTGCATTTAATTTAAAGCTTTCCTGTGATTTTATACAGGTATATAAACTTTCCCCCATGTTTGCCAATTTATATGTTTAGAATCATTAAGTAGCATGGCAAATGTTAATTTGAGATGGGTGAGCCTGTTCAAACTTGTAATTTTATCACTATTTACCAAAAGCCGCTATACAGTATAATCTTGGCCGAACATTCACAATTTTTCTGAGATCCTTTAATTAGATTTTTATTGTAGTTTCAAAAAAAGTAGTTTCGAACTTCTACAGGTGGCTAGCTAGTGTGCTGGCCTCTCAACACCACACCATCTCCCCCCTCTGGGTGACAACAACTTGGCTCCACATCAGAACAGTAACAGATACGGTCCGTTCCTAGCATTCTCACAAAAGGAGAGGTTAGTATGTATGTGTATGAAGTAGACTGGAAAAAAGTGCTTTTGAATAGTGATGATGGATAATTCCCTTGGAAATGGGAGGGGAAATAGCTACGATTTCCATGTTCACCCAAGGTCAGGAACATCTTTCTTTTTTTCTTTTCACTATCTTTCTTTTTTTAGCCCATAAATAATCGCATAATTTTCTGCATTGCTTTTGGCATTTCCCTTCCACTGAAATGCACTGAAATAATCAACAATGATTTGTGCTAGTTTGGGCCGTTGTGGATGGGGAGACAATGGTACAATGGCATCTAACTAGTGGAGCCAAAGAGGCAGAGCCATTTCCTGGTAGGAAGGAAGGCAATTGGGGGCTGGTTGAAGTCAGACTGAAGTCACTGGGGCAGTGCTGCCATTGGTTAAAGGGACCCCTGACCATTAGGTCCAGTCGTGGGTGACTCTGGGGTTGCAGCACTCATCTCACTTTACTGGCCGAGGGAGCCGGCATACAGCTTCCGGGTCATGTGGCCAGCATGACTAAGCCGCTTCTGGAGAACCAGAGCAGTGCACGGAAACACCGTTTACCTTCCCGCCGGAGCGGTACCTATTTATCTACTTGCACTTTGATGTGCTTTCGAAGTGCTAGGTTGGCAGGAGCAGGGACCGAGCAACGGGAGCTCACCCCGTCGCGGGGATTTGAACCGCCGACCTTTTGATCGGCAAGTTCTAGGCTCTGTGGTTTAACCCACAGCGCCACCCACGTCTAAACAACCACTTCAGCACGTTTTCCCAGGATCACACCTTCTGCATGTGAAGTAGTTACTCTGCTACTGACCCACAGCCATTCCCTGTGTTTGTGTGCAATATTTTGTACTTCAAATATTTATTTATAGTGGAGAACACGGCTGACATGATAAATAAATAAATCAAATGGATCCTGAAAGCATCAATACGAGCTATTTTTATCTTCTCTTGTTTCTGCCATTGCTGATTTTGCCCAGTTTCCAAATCAACCTCAAAACACTTGCTGCTGCTTGCACACACTTGATATTCAAACCACAAGTTAATAATCAGACAGATAGTTTCTCCTATGCTTAATATTTTATGAGTGGGCTATAAATAACTACTTGAAATTATATTGCAAAATCACCAGCTTACTCGTGTTTCCTGTAATGTCCAGTTTGACCTTGGTTATTTAGATACCTGGAGAAAGGAGGGATGGCGGCGGCGGAAAGCTAAGCTGTCAATCACATGGAGATGCCACTTTGCTTGTTGCTACAGAAAAGACAGTAGTGTCTTGTCAAAAGCAAAAAATAAAAGGTAAAATAAAAAGGGGATTAGGCCAATAATATACTAGAATCTCATTAAACCCTTGACTCTAGTTTTTGCTCTGATGAGTTCATTTAGAATTCTGGGAACAGAATTGAGTTATCATGTGCTATGATTGGCAAAATGGGCAAAGGAACATCTATCTCTTTTTGCTAACACTACAAGATGAATTATGGGTCTGCAACTGGGAAGAGGCAGTTAAAAAGACAGTCGTGTCCTTTCCGGAGAACTTTATTACTGTTAATATTAGGGGGTGAAAAGGGCATTAGTTCCTACCGGCACGTTATCTATTGATTAGGAAATGTCTGGACCTTGCAAGCTACGGTTTACCATGCAGGGGCTCTCGCTCTCTAGCTATAACTTCAGAAGTTCTGACGGTGAGTCTTAATGACAAGTTACCCTGGAAAGTGATTTCCTCTTGTTAAACGTGACATATCCTGCAGCAACATCCCCGGGTACAAAAGCGCAGAGGTGAAATTGCACTGGTATACAAAATGTTACGGACGAAAGTCCTTCAAAAGTGCAGGGTAGGGCTTCAAGGGGAAAAAATTAAATTGCACAATACAATTTTCTAAAAAGGCAAAGGGAGCTTGCAGAACTGGACTGCCGTTGCAATAAATAAATAAATAAATGAATAAATAAATAAATAAATAAATACATGCATGCATGCATTAAAAGAAATACATTTGGTGCCGTCAGATTGCTAACAGAAAACTCCTTGCAACCCCGTGAGGTTTTGAAAATTGGTTCAGAACCCTTTGATGCTGCCCCCCTCCCTTGCGAGCAAATGGAGCACTGTTCTCGGGCAACCACTACCCTCTCTGCCTTCTTACTTACAAGCAGTTGGATGGTTATGTGTCCTGGATGCTTTAGCTGAGTTTGGACTAGATGACCCTTGGGATCCCTTCCAACTCTACACTTCTATGATTCTATAGTCCAGTGGGTGACCCTGGCATTCAGCTTCCTCCTCCTCCTCAGTGTTGCCTTTATGGGGACAGAACTAGAATTAGTTGCCCTGTCTAAATATATATAAAAATAAAAAAATTGTCCAGTAGCACCTTAGAGACCAACTAAGCGTGTTCTTGGTACTGTGGTACCTCAGGTTAAGAGGTACTTATTTCGTTCTGGAGGTCCGTTCTTAACCTGAAACTGTTCTTAACCTGAAGCAAAGTTCTTAACCCGAGGTATTATTTCTGGGTTAGCGGAGTCTGTAACCTGAAGCGACTGTAAGCTGAAGCGTCTGTAACCTGAGGTACCACTGTATAAGCTTTCGTGTGTATGCACACTTCTTCAGGTATCTGAAGATATTCTTCAGGCAAGCAGGCCTTGCTTGGCTTGATGGGAAACGAGATTATGAAGACAGATCAAAGGTTATTCATGTACACCACAGTTGCAGCGAGGACTTTGTTGGCCCAAAAATGGAAATCACAAGAAACCCCTACTATTGCGGAGTGGCAGGCGAAGATGATAGATTTTGCTGAGTTAGGCAAACTGACTTGCAGGATCCGAGACCAGGACGATTGGAAATTTCAGAAAGACTGGAGTAAATTTATTGTCTACTTAAAGGATAACTGTAAAAACTCGAAGACACTAGCAGGACTGAAGTAAATCCTACAATGTAGATAAATTGTAAAGAGTTAGAATGCACAATTGGATTTGATATGGGATATTAGTTGAAGGGAAGGAGGGAAGTCGTTAGCTCAGCGGAGCAAAAAAGGTTTGCTTGTTGATTAATATGTTGTTTGAAAAAGTATGTAAGGAAAATAATAAAAAATTATAAATAAAAGAAGAAGAAGATATTCTTCAGATATTCTTCAGGTATCTGAAGAAGTGTGCATGCACACGAAAGCTTATACCAAGAACAAACTTAGCTGGTCTCTAAGGTGCTACTGGACAATTTTATTATTATTATTTATATTTCGACTGCAACAGACCAACACGGCTACTTGCCCTGTCTGTCATTGGCTCTAGCGCCACCTACTGTTGAGCTCCCTGCTTTCCATCCTACCAGTCCAGTGAGCAACAGCCATCACTGTCTCTTCCTATGTTCCATTCAGTGGAAACTAGACCAAAGCTCAGGGAGGCTTCAAGAGGCATGTCTCCACCCCAAGGTAGTCTGGGGGTTCCAAAAGTGCTGGGCAAGATGATCTGGGGAGACAAGAAGGCAAAGGTGGGTGAGAGGGCTTGTGAGAGGGAGGAGACAATCACCGCTGGTTTTCTTTCCCTTGAAGAACCAGATGCCTCTCCAAGCCACTGCCTGTTGTCTTGCCTTCCAGAAGAGGCGCTGACCTTCAGACATCAGACTTGCTCTCTTATGGAAAGTGTCAAGAGATCCTGCTTAGACTTTGGTTCTGTTCTTAAAACTTTGGTTCAGCAGGAACTTAGACTTCTGGGTAAGATCTGGGATCACGAGAAAGCAGATCTTGATTTCTCTCTCTCAGTTAATTGCTAGCAGTCATACAAATTATTGCAGCTGTGTTATCTCGCACCAGCACCTCGGGGCTGAAAGTGGCCAGTCCATTAATTGGGAACATATTCTTCAGCTGTGCTGTCACGGGTTCAGCACCAGACTCAAGAGTTCTGGAAGGTTATAACTGAGATACTTTCTAATTGGCTGAGGAGAGAGAAGCAGGTTGCTATGCAAGAGGTTATGAGACACCTACCTCACAGTACTGGCAGGTATTAGGAATGCATCATAACTCAGAGGAGGAATGGACACAGAAGCAGCAGCAAACTTTTCATTTGGTTCTAGTTCTGCCCATAAAACTATGAGGGTGATAAACTCGTTCATATCCCATAATCCCCTGCCCTTCACACTCACTGTATTTATGAATAAACTATAACTTGATATTAGAAGGTGACAGACTCATAGATGAGTGTTTATGATAATCACCGAGTTATTATCATACCTTTCAGACACTACAGTATCTAAGAGGGAAAACAGCAACACACAGCCAAGCCCACCCCCAGATCACCATAACTGCAGCTTGCAATTCTGAAGGTCAGTGACATATAAAAGAAAGCTTGTTCTCAGTCACAAAAGAAGAGTTAATAACACAGCAAAGCACACTGGGCAGTAGAAAATCGCAGTAAAGTGGCTTTAAAGAGGCGCAATCTTTACATGCAGTCTGCAAAAAACCACGGTAAACCACACAGCAATAAATAACATTTGATTTTAAGGAGGAAAAAAGAAATCCGAAAAACATTGTCCAGGACCACATTACTGGTGCAAGTTGCCTCATATATGTTTTATGTGCTTGTAAGGCTGCTTTTTTTAGAAGGCGAGAGAGAAATTAGCAACATGCCTCAAAAATAGAACACAAGGAAAGGGTTGCTTGCCATGAATGGAAATCCTACATGGAAGACTTTTCTCAAGATCTGGGGTTTCCAGTCAGCTAGAATTAGGAAGAATGGGGAAGACATTTGAACTGGTTCATATTTAAAAGCAAGCTTAACATACTTTGCAGTTTTTGAAACAATATGCAAGGTAGACAGAGAATGGAAAAAGACCTATTCGCTCACTTCCGCTGAGATTTGTGATTTTCAAAGTCTGATCCTAGGAGGATCACAGGTTGGGGTTTCTTGTGGAGAGACTGGTAATGGTAGCTGAGCTTCTCTAAAACAAAAGCAAAAAAAATCCCCTACAGATTCAGGGCAGTGTTGGTGTAATTTCACAACCTGGATGGTCGTCCTCAAAAACTGTCCTCATTTATCAAAGGAACACACAAGAATGTTCCTGGGAATCTTCCACAATGTGTATGGAGCCATCTTTTCCCTCCTGTCAAGGGTAGTAGTGTAATCTGTGGGGGAGGACACAAACTGGTAGTGGGTGGAGTCTGAGCCAATGGTGGGTGGAGCCAGAAACCAAATTATTCTGGATTAACCAGAATACCTCCCTGAGTCAGGTTTTATCATGACTACCTAAAATTAGAATTCCCAATCCTATGCAGGTTTATTTAGAATTAAACCCAGCTGGATTTCATGGGGTTACTTTCAAATAAGTATACAGAAGACTGATTTCTCTCTTTTTTTAGTGCAGCAGACTAATATAGCAATTGCTCTGAAAAGCAAGCAAAAGTAATTCCCTCCTGACTTGTGTGCACATTCATTTGTACACACACAAACAGTCACATGCAGCAGAAGCCTACCTATCAATATACTGCCACATTGTACTAGATTTGATTCACACCACTGGTGTGGTGTGACACAGCGGAGGACATCATTGTACAGGATCCCACCATTTATGCACACATGTGGTTTTGCTCCCTCATGATTCACCCATGAAAACAGTGGGAAAGAACTGCATGAGGGGAAACTGCTCTGAATTTCATCGCATGGCACTATCTATGAAAAGAGTGGAGGAATTGCAGCTCAAAACTCCCATAATTATCTGTGTTAATAGGGTTTGGAACAGATTTCTTTCCTGGAAGCAACTAAAGCAGAGATGAGAGCTAAATGTCTGCTAGATTCCCAGAAGTGGCTTTTATGTTGTGGGAAAGATCACATAAAACATAGAAATCATTAGGCAAGGCAATATCAGGGGAAACTGAATCCAGTGGAGTCTGGATGCGCCCTCTGTCTAACAGTAGGGCTGGCCCTTCTCAAAACAGATTTCCATCTCCATGGCAAGCTGGTTTTGAAACTTAGGGGAGCTTCTAAAGCCGTTTCTGATCGATAAGGTCAAGTGCTCAAAGACTAAGCAAAATAAAAGCAAAGCTCAGTTGGCTAACACAAATCCTTTGCAAGCACCAGAGCTGCTTTTTAGGAGCCCAGCCATAACAAATAAGTAAATGAGCAGGAAATATGGTAATTCAGAATAAGTAGGAAACTGCCATTGCATTGAAACAGAGATCAAGTTAATGACCATTGATTAAAGACATAGAAAAACAAAAGTGGTCTCTCTGCTTCCCTAATGAGAAAAGATGTAGCACCAAAAGACAAAGAAGCCTAGCTTGAATTCTTATCATCACTATACAAATTATTTGCTCGTGTTAGCTTCTGAAGCAGAGGACAAGACGCTTCTGGAATTAAGATAAATGTGGAAAAATCTACTGGTCCAGATGAAAGAATTGGTTACTCTGACACAATGGCAAAAAGTAAAGCAATGTAACCTACTTGCATCTAATAAATTGCAAGCAGTAATGAACCAAGGACCAAAGCTTATGGGATGATCAGGCAATATATCTGACATCATCATTACCTAGAAACTATTCATTACAATACCGCTGAGCCAAGGCATCAAGAAAAGATCATAAATCTAGACGGCCCAAGGTGAGGATGCGATCTCATTGGCATCAAGCGCTCTGTGAAAATTCAGAGCGAGACAAAGGCAGTGACTCAAAACTGTGTGTGTGACCTGAAGAAGATATAAGGAGTTGAGAAAACATAGCTGGGCTGAAATATGGGCCACTTTATTTAGCATACATGATATCCATACGGGAACCTTGGAAACTGCCATATTCTGGAGTCAGGCCATTGACCCATCTGGCTAGAAGTGGCTCTCCAGGGTTTCAGATAGGGGTATCTCAGAGCTCTATCTGGAGATGCCAAGGAGTGAATCTGGGGCCTTCTGTGCTAGTTGGACTTTACAGATAAGGGTGCTGCAGGGAGGTTATTACATCAAGGAGAAACAGGGAGGTGATCTCAAAAATCTATAGAGTCTGAGGGTACAGTACTGCTATGTCAGCATGCAGCACCCTTATCTGTAAAGTCCAACTAGCAAGGGATTCCCACTTTTACTGCAGCGAACCTCTGTCAGCAGGCCCAAAAGTACAGTCCAACATTGCTGGCTCATCCACTGCAAAAGCCCAAAGGACTTATTGGGATAATGGGTCTGCAGACAGAGGTTCGCTGCAGCAAAAGTGGGAATTCGGCTGTAGAAAACCCCAACAGGGATGGGGAAGATAAAGGGTTCTGCTTGCTTGCTCCGCAGCTCGCTCCACATACTGGGAGCTTAAATTTTAAAATTCAACACAGGGGAAGAGGAGGAAATATGGAAGCAGGAAACAGTGTCACATGCTTTAGTTCAGCCACTAGGCTCAGTGGACAGCAGTGACTCACTAAGTGGGGTTGAGTCAGTGCATTAGACTCCTGGCAGGTGGGTAACTGCGGCTTATCTGGGGAGGAGGCAAGCGTGCCAGCTTGGCCCTGTGACTGTGGGTGCCCGGGGCCATGGGTGCCATGCAGAATGCATAGCCCTGGTGCTGAAATTTGTGGGTGCCCAGCTTCCTCATGGAGAATTTTGTGGGTGCTTGGGGACCCAGGACCCCAGGGAGTCGGCACCTATGGGAGGAGGACAGTGCAGTCCAAACACACAGGTGGAGTCAATCCAGCATTCCTGGCAATGAGTTTGCACCACGCTGACCTTCCCACCATCTTACTGCTCCCCTCTCCTTTCCCGTAAACAACGAGGAAGCTAGTGTAGCAGTTCCATTCCACCCAGCAAGATGGGGAAACCCATGGTCTCATGAATCCTCCCAAATTCCTGAATGAAAGCACAAGCATTAAATGGAAGTGGAAAGCTGCATCTCGTGCTCTTTAAAAATCCAAAATAAATCAGAATAGGAGATTAGCCATCTGGACATCTAAAAGAGGGCTCTGAATGCTCTCAGGTTGTCATGTCCCTGCACATCCATTGCTGGCAGCCATTCCACACAGAGGAAATCTAAATCTGACTGTTGAGCAATCAACCGGACAGCCGATGATTGATGGGAGTGGAACCTACCCATTATTAATCTGCAGGTATCTAATTGCTTAGTTCACTCAAGTAGCACTTTGTGCCGAGAATACTGTGCCAGACATTTTCTTCATTGCCGGCAAAAGCTATTCACATTTAAGTGGCATGTGGGCACTACCGCCTGTGTGGGAAAATTGGGATGGCGATGAAGTGACTTATGGTTTAGTGCAACAGCCTCCCTCACACCATCTCTTCTTCTGCCTTTTTAAAAAACTATTCTCAGATTTACTGTAAAGGTTAAATAAGATTGTGAAGTATTACGAGTGACCGGCAGTTCTCTCGTCTCGTGCTGTGATCTCATTATGCTCCTGAAGCTAAGCAGGCCTTGGTTGGGATGGACATTTGGAAATGAGATATTCTGGGAAGTATCTGTGTCGAGGCTGAAATCTCTGGTCCTTCGCTAAAAGGGGCAGTGCCAGGGCAGAAGCAGCTGTCATTCCAGTTAACAACCAAACTAGATGTGATCTGTAGATCACACTAGATAGAGTGCTTTTTCCCATCCATGGCTGGTGTGCCAGCTATAACCATACTTGATAACAAGGGAAACTTGGCAACAATGGTGCTGTTCTTGGTAATCTCTAGATTTGAATATTGCAATACAAGCTAAGTGGGGCTACCTTTGAGGTTGGTTCAGAAATAATAATAATAATAATAATAATAATAATAATAATAATAATATCCTGACCATCTGGCTGGGTTTCCCCAGCCATTTTGGGTGTCTCACAGCATGTATAAAAACATAGTAAAACACCAAACATTAAAAACTTCCTGCTGCAGGGCTGCCTTCAGAAGTCTTTTCAAACCATGCCTTTGGTTCTGGAGGTCCCGGACTGCCCAGACAACAAGACCCCTGCCTCGCATCCTCTCTGATGTGGCTCAAAGGAAAGCAGGGCAATATGTTTGGAACCAGCTTGGCTGAGGGAATCGCTGGAAGGAGGATAGCTCAGTTGGTAGAGCATGAGACTCTTAACCTCAGGGTCATGAGTTTGAGCCGCATGTTGGGTAAAAGAATCCTGCATTGTAGGGGGTAGGACTAGATGACCCTTGTGGTCCCT